TTTAAAAAAAAAAAAAAAAAAAGAAAGAAAAGAAAAAGTATTCTTAAGCACAGAAAACAAATATTGAGCAAATTACAGTTGGAAAAGGGAATATGCTATACAACCAGCACCTTTAGGATTTGGACGTTACTTACAGAGTGAAAAATGACAAATATAGCACGATTTTATCAGTTCAGAACTATCAGGTCAAAGGACGTATTTTGGAAATTATACCTAACCAGATCATAGGAATAAAGAAGTTGTAACATTTGCCCTAGTTATATATACTACAGTTAAATTGGTCTTCCCTTCACCATTCTCTGATATTGTAGGAAACTTTGGCTTTGAAAATGCACTGATTTGAGGCCAGAAATGGCAAAGAGCTGTCCTACTCAAAGTATGACACATGGACCCATATCAGCCTCCTGTTACTAGTCTGCAATGGAATAGAAACAGAAATTAAAAGTTAGCATTTGCAAACTTTTTATAGCAATTTGACATACCAATTTTATGTCTGTTAAATCTAATAATAAAAAAAGGGCTTCTGTTTATATTTTCATTTACTATTTCTAATATTTCATTTTTATTATATTTTATAGAAATATTCTGTTTCTGATTGAAGAAAGAACTGGTTCTATACCACAGATAGTTTTATCTGAAGCATTAGCATAGACCATAACTGAGCCATCATTATTTTAAGATCAGATTTAAAGTTCGAAGTCCATGCCTCTGTTAAGATTTTTTTTTGATTAAAAAAAAGAATGTAGTGACATCTGAGATTCTTTGTGTTCCTTAGTAATAAAATACTTATGTTTAAGCCCTCCATGATAAGGAAGTGTTTTATAAAAAAAAATTTATAAACTGTTGACTGATGAATCCTAAATTTCAGAGTCAAAAATCTATGTCTATTTTGGGTGATTTGCTTCTGCTAAACTTCCTTTAATCTCTTCTGTCTTCAGATTTCTGTTCTATAAAATCATACCAGTTTCTGATCCCAGGAATAACATGTGGATTTCATTTTTTCAAAAACAACATTCAGCTTTCCATTACTTGTAATCATTGAAGAGCATAATGCACAGATAGCTAGATCGTAGACATTCCAAAACTCACTTGTAATTAGCTTTGTACAACATTTATATACCTTTAAAAAATCATTCTTCCACACTAACATATGTAAAATTAAAGTTAGCTGGCATTTCGGAGTAAAGCCCAATAGAAAGCAGTGTGAAGAGCTCAGGCTGAGATTATTTTTCAAGTCTGGTGTTTTATTTCATTGATCTCTGAAATGGGTTATCTATGGGCTGGTAGTTAAATATTGACTGTGCATATAGACCTCTCTCATAACTAACACTAAAACAAAACAAGGGATGTGGCTTCAGTCAACTCATACTCTGCTGGATGAGACAGGTACCAACCCTAAGTGGTCCCCTTTAATCAGGGAATAGAATAACAAATGGTAGTGGGATAATTAGCAAACAATTTAGAAAGAAAAGTTATATCTTTACCTAAATCAATTGTTGACAAATTAATAAACTGTAAATGGATGGCAAAGGCTTTTTGAAGCAAACCCCTCATGTAGAAAAAGAATGATAGATTTGACTTTAACAAAACAATAACTGAAAACTCTACTCTCAATTATAATCAAAAGCAAGTATAAATTAAAAAGAAATATATGTGACATAAATGGCATAAAAAGAAATAAAGAGGCAAAGCTTTATAAAATACATTCAGAAATACAAAAACTATAAAGGAAAGACTAGGTATAGTTTACTGCATAAAAACATCTTAAAGTCTGTATGGAAAGCAACGCTATAAATAAAGCCAAAAGACAAGCAATATGCAGAAGAAAATGTTTGTAACATATATGACAGATTAAAAATAATAACAGTATGTACATACAAGTGAGTGCGATGCGCACCGTCTGGGGGATGGACACGCTTGAAGCTCTGACTCGAGGGGGGAGGGGAGGCAAGGGCAATGTACGTAACCTTAACGTTTGTACCCATAATATGCTGAAATGAAAAAAAATAATAATAACAGTGAAAACATGTTACTATGCATCAGACATTGATCTAGATGTTTTACATATATTAACTCATCGAATCCTCACAAGGATTAATAGTGCCTAATGAAGTAGGTACTTTATTACCGCATTTTCCAGATAAGGAAACAGACACAGAGAGGTCTCAGCAAGGACACAGACAAGGTGGAATTCCGATCCGGGCAGTGTGGCTCTCGGGTGCATGCTTTCAATTACCATGCTATGATGTGCCTGCCTCCTAAATTCAGGGCTGACTCAGTGGAGTAACTCAATTACAGCCATCTGAAAGCAAAGCATGAGAAAAAGAAAGGTGGAAGGAAGGAAGAGTGGGAAGGAGGGAAGGTGATAAAGAAACAGAAAAAGAAAAGAAGGAAAAAGAGAAGGATAGTCCCAATTTAAAATTTTAAGGAGTAAGCATAAAACAGTTTTTTTGAGTGTGGAATATGCATCTATAAAGAGTTGTTTGAGTTCGGGCGCGGTGGCTCATGCCTGTAATCCTAGCACTGTGGGAGGCCGAGGCGGGCAGGCAGATCTTTTGAGCCCAGGAGTCTGAGGTTGCTGTGAGCTAGGCTGACACCACGGCACTCTAGCCTGGGCAACAGAGTGAAATTCTGTCTCAAAAAAAAAGTTATTTGGAAGGATGATCAACAAGAGATTAGTGATGATTATTTCTGGTGATTGTTTTACACCTTTCACTCATCTTTTCTATGGTTTGACAACTTTATCTTATTTTTAAAAAAAAAAAAACTTTCGAATGTTAATGCTGTGTGCAGTTTTAACAATGATGTGGATGATGGCGTAGAAGGCAGCTACTCTGGTATACTGCATGTGAGAGTATAAATTAAACAAATTGTCAAGTCAATTTGATTAAATTTAATGAAAAGCTTTAGAATTTTGTATGCTCATTTGACCTAGAAATTCTACTTGTTTTTTCTGGCATCAATTTAAAATGGATCATTACTCATTGACACATGAATTTTATTTTTCACTCATTTACAACACTGCTAGGAGGGTAGTAAAATATTCAAAATACAACAAAACTTAAACAACCTCAGATAATGCTAGCTATCGACTCCCCTCATCACCAATCCATTTTCTCTTCTTAGGTACTTAAGTGGACTACATATCGCAGGCTTCCTGCAGTTAGGTCACATGACTGAGTTCTAGTGATGAATATTATTTCTGGGACAAGGCTTTATTTAAAGAAGTAGGTGTGCCCACTCCATGTTTTAATGTTTCATCCACTGACTGCAGGCACAGAGGATAAAGATGAAGCCCTGGTGAAGAGAAGGCAAAGTGAGCCTGGGTCCCTGAGTCACTATGTGGAGAAGAACCACTCACCAACAAGGAACACCTGCCTTTGACTATTAAATGAGCAAGAAATAAACTTCTATTTTGTTTGAGCTACTGCACATTTTTGGATATATTTATCTACAGCTTAATTCACAGCTTAAATATGTTTTAAACTGCCACTGAACTGACTTGGGCACATATTTAAACTTTGCAACAGGATGGTGGTACGTGCTTTCTTTCTGGTCAGTCAGCATGGGCACCCTCTTTAATAATGGGTTCAGACAAGGCACCTGTGAAAGCTGTTTCTCTTGATATGTCCTCAGCTCCCTAATGAAAGCTTGTGATGATGAACTTGCATTCTCCAATTTTTCTGCTGATATTCAAATTCTTCCCTCTCAGCAGGCTGATTCTTGTTCGGCCAGCTAATGATTTTACTAAATCTTCAAGAATCGTCTGTTTGCTCTCCATCATCATTTTTGCCTTGAATTTTCCCATTTTCCACTTTTTCCTTAGTGAGGACAGTGGATTCAAGTGACTTCTTAGGAGATACCAAGGATGTTTCTCCACTTCTTATTGTATTGCATTGAACTTTTCAGCCTTCTGAATCATATAATCAATAGCTTCATTAATCAAGATTTTCATTAATCAATATATTCTTCCACATTGTGATTTAATACTGTTCTTTTTGTCCATCTTCTTAGTCCACAGCGGCAACCCTGAAAATGTTGTGGACGTTGATGATCATTCTTACTTCACTGAGGACCACTGTGGTGGGGGTATGCCAAGCACATTGCTATCTTTGACTATTCCCTCTCACATTAATACACCTGGATGTGGACAGCAAATTGTTACCTATCTAAATAGTAATGGTCTGTATCTGTTGGTGGAAACAGTGGAATTACACACAATCGTAACAGCAGGGAAATAAGTGTGATATCCAATCAAAAATTATTGAACATGTTCAGATTTCATCAGCACCACAGTATCAGCCTCAATGAGCAGATGCTTGTGTTCAGTTCCTGGCCACTAAAGACTTGCTGGAGGTCCAAACAACTTATATGTCCCATAACAACAAAACTACTAAAATTATGCTAAAAAAGAATATATTTAATAACAGAAAAATGTTTATGATAAATCTTTTAATGAAAAAGAAGTTGATAAAAGTATATTCAGTATGTAAAAGTATATACATTATGATCCCATATTTGTAAGTAGAATATATGTTATTAATAATTCATTCTTCCAATAAATATTAGGCCCCTACTATACATGCACCAGGCTTTATAGATATATTTGGGTGTGAGTGTGTGTGTGTGAAAGAGAGATAGCAGATTTTAATTTTCTTATTTTATATTTTCTGATTTATCTAAAATGAATATGTACTCAGTTTCTAACAAAATATCACTATTAAAATAAAATTTTTGGAATTATAAGAAAAGGCTAACGTCATAACAATAAGATTGTATAGAATAAACTGACAACACATAAGTTATTTTGGCCCTGCCACAGTGACTCACCAAATATACCCTGCACTGTTTATTTTATTTTTTTCTATTTCACTATTGAAAAGAACAGATGCATTTCACATCACATGGATTTCATGGAAACATGCCAACCATTTTCTTAGCAACCAAACTCCTGTCTTCTGCACTGTGCATGATTAACTAAAACAGCCTGTTGACGGCTTAAAATAAACCTGCCTTTTTCCATTTAGCATTTTTTCAAATGAATATAATTTCGTTTGCTGATGAATTTAGTTCAGCTTCAAGGGAATTTTTCTTTTCTTCATGGGGAGGCTGAAGGATCAGAACTGTCATGCCAAAGAATGAAAAGCAAGCCTAGGGAGAAAAAGACAGTCTGAGGTTTACGTGGGTAAAGTAAAAGTATCTTTGTCAATTTTACCCGACCCCCCATCCCCCCTTGTTTTTAATAGTGTAGAATGTCAATTTAAATTCTATTTCTGCTTTTGCATTATGATGTTTAGATTGCTTGATTAAAAGCATTAATTTAAATGGTAACTCTGAAGATTACTATTGTTACTATGCATGAGTTCTTGCCTTATTTTTGTTTATCTCTAGCACTTGAATATGCCCTAAAATTTGATTAGATTCATCTCACAGGATAGGAGACCTTTTAATGGGTGGGGTTCAGAAGTATAGGGACTGGACAGTATAATCTTCAAGGGAGAAGGGGTATAGATGATCAGCAATGAAGAAAATCAGTGTTTTCTTAGGGGAGATGATTCTGCAACTTGGAATGAATTGCTGTCTGTTTGATGAGTATAAAATATAACCCTGTGTCTATATGTACATATAGACATCTTGTGTCCAAAGACTATAGGAATATTTGCTAAATAGGGAACCTTTAAAGTTTCTTTACAGATTAACAGCTTAAAAACAAAGCCGTTTATGCACTTAAACCAGCATGTATCTACAGAATCCAGGAAAGGAAGAGGATGTTTTTGGTTTTATTTTTTCTAGACACAAGGTCTTAATATCGTTACCCTCCAATCCTGGGCCCACATGATCTTTCCACCTCAGCCTCCTGAGTAGCTGGGACTATGTAATGTTTGACTGAGCATTATATAGTCCAAGCAGGTTCCCCATTATCTTTCACTTGTGTCCTCATTTGGAAATAGACAGTGAAAACCAGCACTAATGGCAAGTTGCAACATTATTTAAATTTCCACTTTATTTCCCCCAGAGCAAATTTGTAAATGTTAGCCATCATCAAGTAATCCAGTTGACACTTCAGCTGCACAGAGTTTTTTACATTTTCCCCTGGGGAACAAAGACACAACAAATATAAAACATATTCCTGATATATCCACTCTTTCTGATTCCTCCTCTATTTCTATTTTGAGAATAAATAATCTTGATGCCTTAAACATTAGACATAATGCATAGAATAGTTATAGACATATTACATTAAACATTGTAACATAGCTGCTCCTACATTTGAATATTCCTTTATCATAAGTCTGAATTCTTCATTGCTTAAGCCAGGTTCTGAAGCTGATCAGCCACTCTGGAAAATGTCATTATCTCTTTCAGGTTTGTGTTTGAAAGAGTTAATACATTTTCAAAACTGCCCAATCTAGTTTCCAAATTAAGAAAATCCGAATCAAACATGTCACCCTGTGTGTTTGAGGCTAATCCAGCCGGTGGCATTATTCCTTTACGGAGGGGAGCCTTGATGACTAGCAGGCTCATCAGCTGCTAGCCTGCAGAGAGCATCCGGGAAACACTGGGAGCTTCCCGTGGGACCCATTGCTCACAGGGGAAGGTGCCTTAGAGCTTTATTAATTATACCCAATTGGGCTGAGGGAAACCGAAGGTGAAATCCAGGAAATATTCCAGAGTCTGGCACATGAGTGACCACAGCCAGCCTGTGCAAACCTCAGAGTGCCTCAGCTTCCCTGCTTTTAGCCATTAACTTCCTTTCTCAGATGAGTAACAATTAAGGCTGGTCACGCCTACCTTATCTGTAGAAGTGAGTCTGATCTTTAACTTAGCCATTCTATTCTATTTTGTTTTTTAACAGAAAACTAAAACCTTGAGTGTGAGGGTGCTTTTGGTTTCAGTATATTTGGTGTAGCTTTCTCTCTTTCTATTGACCACCGCTTTACTTTATTCCAAAAGAGCTCTCATTTCTTAGAAGCTTTTTCATTCTTTAGATAAAATTACATTTTAGTTTTGAAACTCGATAAAAACAACATCAATTATCACATATTGAGGGCATGATATTAGTTAGTTGCTATGCTAAGTCCTGTAGATGAATTAATTCTCACACTGAGAATAGGAAGTAGAATCAGGTCTTTCTGATGCTCTATAATTAAGCAGAAGAGAACACATCACACTCACATTAAGAATAGATTAAATGTCTTAGTTAATTAGCTGAGGATAAAGAAAACTCTCTGAGACAGGACCAATGTGGCCTATCTTGACAAGGATTTCCCTGGCCTCTGTTCCCTGAGAAAGTCCACCAAGAAGGCTGTATCCACAGAAAGTAAAGACAGTCGGTGTCCAAGTGTCCCTAATAATAAACCTGCCTCTGGCTTTCCTGCCTCCCCAAATAATTATGTCTTCACAACCAAAAATTATTTTCCAAATCCCATGTTCTTACAATTACAGGAGATTTCCCAGAATATTACATCTTTGCAGTGAAATCCTTTGAAAATGAGGTATATAAACTCCTTTAATCATGTACTGAGATAAAAAATATAGTTCATTTTCAATTTAAGAACCAGGAGCAACTAAAATCTGGTTATTTAAAGAACTTGGAGTCTAATTTTCAGTATGAAGATGAGGAGTTAAAGTATAGAAATTTATTAGTATAATATTTAGAAGTTGTCAGGGTAATTTGGGAGTGGTTCTTTCTAGATCAATGGATGGACTGAATAAGAACATCTTTGACTTAAGATTCTAGGCTGTGGTACTATCCTTTTGCAACTAGGAATTATCTTGGAGAAATGCTTTATCATAAGATTTTCCCCATAAAGCTAGATTAAATCTCCACTGGGAGTACCTACATGAGTCTGGAACAAAACAGTCAGTACTTTCTTGGATCTACAATGGTATTGAAAAGGGTGAGACTGTCTGGCACTTGCCTAGACAGATAGATAACTAGATAGATGTAGATATGTGTATGTATACGTGTGTGTACCACACACACACAATTAAAAAGCTCATGTTACCAAATATAGTAATATAAAGAGTACTTCAGTTATTAGGAAAAGACACTCTTTGTATGCAGGGTCTAAGGTGCACTCTCTAATTCAGTAGCTACCAGCCATATGTGGTTATATAAATTTAAATATAAATTATTAAATTTAAAATTCATCTTTGGGCTGGTCATGGTGGCTCACCCCTGTAATCCTCTAATCATCTGGGAGGCCGAGGCGGGAGGATTGTTTGAGGTCAGGAGTTTGAGAACAACCTGAGTGAGAGTGAGACCCCGTCTCTACTAAAAATAGAAAAAATTAGCCGGGCATGGTAGTGTGCACTTTTGGTCCCAGCTCCTCAGAAAGCTGAGGCAGGAGAATTACTTGAGCCCAGGAATTTGAGTTTGCTGTGAGCTAGGCTGACACCACGGCACTCTAGGGCAAAAGAGCAAGACTCTGTCTTAAAAAATAAATAAATAAAATTCATCTTTGCGGTTGCACTAGCCACATTTTAAGTATTTAATAACTACATGGATAACAATATTGGGTAGCAGGGCCATAGAATTCTTCCATCATTATGCAAAGTTCTATTGGATAGTGCTGGTCCAGAAGTTGGGGAAATATTTTTAAAATGTATTTAATTAGAGCTTGTCAGTCTCGCCCTTTCAATGAAGTCTTCCCTGAACCAATTTCTGTCGTAGATTACTAAAAACAGGCTATTTTATTATGCTATCCAAACAGTGATTCAATTTATAATTAGAAGTTGATGAAGCTCTTTCATTTACTACAGTATCACTTGCGCCACATTTTCCAACTGCATTAAGAAGTTAAATTATCTCACAGAAGATAACAAAAGACAGAGAATTTACTCAACGGTCTAGAAAATATAAATATATATGAGGGGTATGCATGTGTCTGTATATGTGTACATGTCTGTGTTAACTGAAAACCAAAGTTGGGGACAGTGTGTTCTCACCTTGTAAAGTGGCATGCTGGCCGCACTGTGCTTATCTTTGCAGCCTTGTCAGGAAGAGGCTGGTCAAGTCCATCAGGGATTTCTGGCCCACATAAGGGAATCATTAGCGAAAATTCTACAGGAATTTCTAAAAGCCAAGAATTACCAGTGGCTCTTAAAGATTCTGTTTAAATGGCATATTGCTCCCATTTCATTGGCCAAATCAAGTCACATGAGCAAACTGGCTGCCAACGGGGTGAAGAAGTATAGGCCACTCATGGAGAGCAGCAGCATATAATTAGGGACAATCATACAGCCTGTCACAAGACCCTTTTGCTAATGATAAACAGCTCACTCTCCATATTAGTCAGGGTTCTCCAGAGAAGCAGAACCAGTGGGAGATAGATAAAGATATAAGGAGATTTATTATAGGAATTTATTATGGAAATCACGTGATTGAGCTAATTGTGGAGGCCAAGAAGCCCTACAGTATGCCATCTGCAAGCTGGAGAATGAAGAATTCAGACTGTCATTCTGCCTGGGTTCAAAGGCCTGAGAACCAGCAGGTGCCACTGGCTGGTGTGTCTCAGAGGCCAAAGGTCGGAGAACCAGACAGGAACTCTGATATCTCAGAGCTGAAGACAGACGTCCCAGCTCAAGAAGAGAGAGAGAAAATTCCCACTGTTCTGCTTTTTTGTTCTATTTGGTCCTTCAATAGATTAGATGATGCTGCAGACATTGGTAAGGGCTGATCTTTTTTACCTCAGTCCATTGATGCAAATGCTGATCTCTTTCGGAAACACCCTCACAGACACACCCAGACATAAAGTTTGTCCAGCTGTCTGGGCATCCCTGGACTCAATCAAATTAATGCATAAATTAACCATCACATTCTCTTTTCTCCATATCCTGTTATAACGTAGCCAGTTCCTAGATGGTATTTTTATCTCTGACTAGAAAAAGGAATCCTCTCTTTAGAACACCTGAGGTATTTGGTTTTTCCACATTATCAATAGACCACTGTGGTTTCTAGAATCTGTTATTAGTCTTGACCTAGGCTCAGCTGCAGTGGTTGCCTCCCCACTGAAATCTGAATATGTAGAATGAATAAAAAGCAGAGGACACTTGTTCATAACTCTGCCTATTTTAGTTCCAGAGAACCTTGCCTAGAGTAAGAAGTCCGTTACCAAATGATTTGGATATTTTGAATAGAAGTGTTATTCATGGCCATGAGGACAGAACAAGAGTAACTGT